AATATCTCTCAACCAAGACATAATTAGGCTGCAAAATGCTCAACACTTGAAACCAATGGAGGCAGCATGAGCATAGAAAGAAATGAGTGTAAGTCAGCATAAGCATCTCGAGCCAGCAAAGTGTAATCTCCCAAACCCTAGAAAAACATTATAAGCAAAATGGAGAGTGTGTCCAAATTCTTGAAACCAACATTGGCATCAAGTAAATCCAAGTGATATTAGTGCCAGAAGCTTTATTAGTAGTATTACAAAAATAGAGAACCCAACCAAGCATGGCCAAATACAAAATAGTGTCCAAGAAACACAAACTGGGCCAAAGTAACTTTCCAGCATCCTTCCAAATGCCAAAGAGCAAATCCAGGCCGTAAGACCCAAATAATGAAACAGAAATCCCAAAGCAGTAACAAATAAGAACAATAAATATATAAGTGTCTGCAGCACGACTAATATCCTAACCAAAAAAAGAAGAAAGAAAGAAATTCCAGCCAATCAAAACCAGATTCGAACCAGTGTCCAGCAAACACAGCCTGGACCAAAACAACCATCCAGCATCCTTCCAAAAGGCATAGAAAAATACCCAGTCCAGAAAAAGCAAAATATGACACTTTGTATAAGAAGGCAAAGAAGGGGGAAGCATAATTAAAATCTAACATAAGGGGCTTCCAATAAGTCACTTTGTATAAGAGTGTGCAACGAAGGGGGAGGAGTATCCCCAACAATAGCACTGTGTACTCCCCATTTAGCCAGCCAATCCGCGCCAATCCGCTGAGGAATTTCCCTCTCTATAAATGAAAGAGTATTGAAGATTAAGGTGATGCATCTCAATATAATGCCAAATCCTTCTCAACAAAGAAATAAGATACCAAGCATGTTTGAGCATAGCCATGAGCATATAAAACAGTGTTTCAGAATCAGTTTCCAGAACAATGTCATTTAAATTTAGAGAAGTAATAATTTGTAGTGCAACAAGTACTGCACAAGTCTCTGCCTCCAGAGATGAAGTGGCAATACAAGGGGAGGCAAGATATGCTATACATTTACCATATTCATCTCGAATCAGACCCCCCATTCCAGTATAAGTAGATGAGAAGCAAGTTTCAACCCTTTTAGTTTAAGAATATCATTAAGAGGGAGCAAGTTATGAAAATATCTCTAAAGGAAAAATGAGATAGAGGGAGATATATATTTATGCCAAGTGTAAACATGTCATTTCCAATGAGTAAAAGAATGCAATTTCGAGTAAAGCAGTTTAGTGACAGAGGATCTGTTTTGATGCTTCCGAAGAGGAACATCTCTATCTTGAGCTCGAATAGGTATAGTAGCAATGACAGGAGCTATATCACCAACTAATGAATTCAGTTTAGCTAAATTCCGAACACCATCAAATCAACAATCAGAGACAAGCAGATTAAAATCATATCACGAGGTTGGCAAAGTAGAATATGAAGAAATCCCCATTCATCATTCCAGAAAGAAATGCAACCGTCCCTAATGTTCCAAAAAATAAAATTTGAAGTCACATCCCGAGCAGAAATAATAGCCTTCCAAAGCTTAGAATCCCCCACTCCCATTTGACCGTAGAAGGATGTAAATTTTTGCAATATTTATGAAACATAAACTGAGTCAATAATGACTCCCGCAAACGAAATTTGAACCAAAGTTTACACAAGTTAATATCAATAGTTTGTTGCAAAGTTTTAAACCCAAGCCCACCAGCATACAGAGGCTTGCTATTGTACTGCCAATTCGTCCAAATCTTAGAGGATCTAGAGCCCTTCCAAAGAAATTTGTTGAAAATAGTTTCAAGAGTCTTTTGAGTGCTTTTCTTTGTTTTAAGTACTTGCCTAGTGTAGAGAGGAAGTGTACATAGGACACTTCTCAACAATATGAGCCTACCACCATTTGAAAGAAAATTATTTTTTCCAGTCATTAATCTTGAGTTTAATTTTTTCAATTACTTCATCCATCTGAGTTTGCTTACATCTACCTCTAAGAATGTGTATCCCAAGATACTTAATAGGAAGCTTAGAAATTTTACAACCAGTATAATTGGAAGCCCAGACATGAGTGTTAGAAGGGACACTTTTGCCAAAATAAATAGAACACATGGCCAAGTTAAACATCATCCAAATATGTTTTGAAAATCCTTTAACAAAGACATTGTAGCTTTAATAGCACATTTGCTAGCATTTAAAAACAAGATAGCATCATCAGCATAAGCAAGGTGACTCACCACAATCTTAGATTTATGAGAGAATTGAATATTAGAATGCTCATGATGTAGCTTATTGATGAGCCTAAAAATGTAGTCAAATGCAATAATGAAAATCTTGGGAGAGAGAGGATGTCCTTGTTTAATGCCCGTGTTAGCAGAAAAGAAACCATGTGCTTTGTCATTAACCAACACACTATAGCTATATTATTAGAAAGCCACATCTTAATGAGTAAGCAGAAATCCTGTTGGAAGCCTTTGGCCTGCAAAATATTATTAATAAAGTCCCAGCTAATAGTATCAAAAGTTTTCTTAATATCCAATTTAAGGACCATGTTTTCCCCCTGCACTTCTTATTCAGATCTTCAATCATCTCCTATGCTAAAAGGATATTATCAGTAATATCCCTACCCTTAAAGAAAGCAGATTGTTGAGCAACAATGATGCGAGAGAGGTGAGCCTGCAATCTGTTAACTATAATTTTACTCATAACTTTAGACATCACAGTGGTGAGAGATATAGGATGAAAGTTGTCATAGGAAATCTTATTATTACCTTTGGGGATGAGCACAATCAAAACAGAGGTGAAATATTTACCAAGGTTATTGCCAATGAAGAAACTTTGTATAGCAAGAACAACCTTCTTCTTAATAACCTTCCATGAATGAGTGTAGAAAGTACAAGAGAAACCTTCCAGACCAGGAGCTTTGTTGGGGTAAATAGACTTGAAAGCATGAAGGATTTCTTGTTCATCAGGAGGATGAGTTAAATGGAGATTATTAATGTAATTTTAATCATTCACAAAGTGAGTGGAGTCAACAGGCATAACATGAGTTGAGATTTGAAAAAGCTCAGTAAAACAGGTAACATCACTAGCACCAATCTCTTCCATGCTAGTTAAAATGCTCCCATCCCCCTTTTTAATTTTCAAAATACTATTAATGTTTCCTATGTGTTTAAGGGTGGCATGAAAATATTTAGTGTTTTTATCCCCCGCAGCAAATGAAATATCATTAGTCTTCTGTTGAAGAAGATTTTATTCTAAAGCAATAGCATCCATTAACGAAATATGAGCCTGTGCAACAGTGTCCATCAAAGTAGGAGAAACAATTAGTTGAGCTTCCAATGAATCAACAACGCTCTGAGCATCCTGCACTTTTTTATGAACATTACCAAAAATCTGGTAATTCCATTTAGTAAAATGGTCGGTCATCTTTATATGCAATTGCCACAAAACAAATCAATGAGTCCCAGCTCCTTCATACATTCATTCCTGATTCACCGAAGTCAAAAAAGTATCGTGAGAAGTCCAGACATTAAGAAACTTGAAGCGAGATATGCTCGGTTTAACAGTAAAAGCCAATGTAAGCAAAATGGGATTATGATCAGATGTAGCATAGCTTAAGTGTTGAACCCGCACAATAGGAAAGTGGCTTAAAAATGCAAAATTAGCCAAATATTGATCCAATCTTTGATAAAGAAAACTTCTCCTCCATGTATAAGGAGAGCCCGTGTAACCCAAGTCAAAAAGGCATGCATTAGAAATAGAATTAGAGAACCTGTTAATAAGAGCAGGATCAACTCTACCACCACCTTTTCTCTCCATAGGTTTCATAATCATATTAAAGTCGCCGCAAACAAACCAATTCTCATTAATAATGAGGCCTCTCATAAGCTCTAAGTTTTTGCTAGAGAAAAAATTTATTATGCAACTGAGAACTAGCATATACAAAAGTGCCCCACCCTTGGAAATCTTCAAAATTGATCTGAGTTAAAGCGTATTGTTCCTCATCTTCAATAATGGAAAGTGTGACAGTGGACATTCAAAAAACCCAAATTTTTTTATTGATGTTGTAGTAAGAACGGTATTCTTTGAATTTGTTCAAAATTTTGCTTTTATTAACATGAACCATAGGTTCCAAAATAGCAAAAATGAAAAATTTGTAGACCCTACAAAGATGTTTGAGCCTATTAAGGGAGTTAGGGTCCGTCACTCCCCTAGTATTCCAAACCATAATTTTAAACATGATGACATGAGTCAGCCTTTCTAGAAGATCTAGTAGGGTTGACTAACTGTTCCGCATCAGAATGATAAATGTATTTTTGAATAATGTTGCTAGCATTAAGACTAGATAGCTCATTGTTTCGTTTAGCCTTTTTTTCTTGAATGTTTTTGAACCTGCCACTCATTTTCTAAAGTCTTGGCCGCATTAGATAAAGAAGTACTAGTATCAACAGTAACAGGAGCCCTAACTATAGTGGTGTAAGCAATTGAGCTAGAGGGAATAAAATCTCCTTGAATATGTGGGATGCTATCAGGAATATTAGGAGCTACTAGTAACGTTGTTTCCACGGGTTCCACAGTGTCCACATTAACTTTTACAATCTTCGGCCAAATCAGTGCCATCATAAGTATTCGGTTGTGCATGTGTGCAATGCCTCATTATCTAAAGTATCCGAGTTAGAAGTAGCAAAGGCGGATTCACAACTAAATCAACCACATTATCAGAAGTAGATGGGATATCTTGATGCTCAATAGGTTTATTGTTTTCAGGTGAGGTAGTATATATATATATGGAGAGAGAGATACATACATTTATTATTTAGAAGATTTTTGCAAAAATAAAACCACCTTCAACCTTATGAAGGTAATTACCATATGCTTTTCAGAGCCGCAACTTGGGGCCGTTTGACATTCTTAATATTTGGTCATTTTAACAAACCGGTTCTATTGTTTAACTTGACTTCTTGTTCCAATCTCATAAAAATCTTTTTCTTTTTTCTTCAGGTGCGGAGGTGGCTGTGCTTTGCATAACCAAGTCAAAGGAAGTACTGAATTACCAGGCATTTACCAACTCTAAAGGCATTTACAAGGTCGCTGAGACAATGCCTGAGAGTGATCGTTGGGATTCATGTTTAGCAAGGCCCATTAGCAGTTTCCATCAGCACTGCACTGTGAGGGTTGATGCCTATTCTGGAGTTAAGTTCTCATACAATCAGCCTTCAGGAAATTCTCATTCCGTCAAGGCCTTTCTTTACAAGCCTGTCTCTGCTCCAGCTTACTGCATCTAACACATCATTCTACAGTGGTTATGAATTCCTATGTATAATTTAAATGCAAAATTTATAATTGCGTGTTTCAAATAGTGCATTATATGTATGAGAATGTTGACTATAGTTCTTGGCGACAAGTGGCTTGACGAAGTATGTTAAAGAAATTAATATCGTACTAGAACATGTCAATTATATGTTTCATTGTAATGCTGGTAGATATTGTACTATATTAAACGCAGAAAATTTTATCATATTTTCATTCTTCTGATTGTGCTCTTTGAAACCTAATCAGGTTGGACAACTGCAATTATTTTGTTGCCAAATGAGAAATTATTTGCCCTGAAACTTTTTTGTTTGTAGATCGAGAAATCAGGTTAGCGATATTAAGATTTGCAGTTTGAGATGTGATACAATATATCAAAAATTGGGATACGTAGAGATTGATGCATATCCGGTTTGGGGCTGTTGTCAAATATTACTTGCATGAGAGGTTTGGTTACCTTAATTAGTAAGTAATGTTTTTGGAGTTCATCTTTATTTACTGTATGTGTGCGCTTAAAAGTTTGGCAAGCTAGCCAATGTAACAATCATCAATTTTCTCTCAATCCTATATGGGTCAGAAATTCTAGGAAGTTCCAAATTATCTAATAAAGAAATTGAATTTGATTTGCTTTCTTCCTGTATTTAAGATGCTTAATATCTTAATTACATATTCCTTTTTGTAGTTCATACTTCTGTTGATATAGCACATCATATGGATTAGGACTGTGCAAATGATTTAATTACTAGCGTCTAACAGCTTAATAAAGTGCTCAAACAAAAGCCCAATCAAGGTCTCTCGTAAGATCTCACTCGAGGAAATAACTAAAATTTAGATTTTATTATCTGAATCTCAGATTAGGTTATAGTGGTTTAACTTCTCAAATTTAAATAAATGTATGAGTTCTGCACTTGGTAAAATTTTGAAGATAAAATGAGTTTATGAAAGTAGTTGAAATCTTACATTATTAATGGCCACTCACATTTCCCTAAAAAATGTTTCCCTTATTTTAAATTTTTTTTAGTCAATGTAATCTCTAAAAATAGGAATGCTATATAATGAAATTTTTAATCAACTGAATGAGATTTTTTTTGAGAAATATTTTTCATTTTTGTGTTGGTTTTTTTTTTTTTTTTGGCCTAATTTGTCATTTTTTTAGTGAGATTTGTTATTTATTTTATAAGCATCCTCTCGAACTCTTTAAACATTTTCCCAATAACACTCATGCTTACATCCCAAGTAACTTTTAAGCCCATATGTCTATTGTCAAAGCCTTCAAAACCATGTTAAATTTATATCTTATTATCGAACTTAGAGGGATGACTACCTAAACTTGTTCTCCACAACACTATTAGCCCTAAACCCCACTAAAACATATAAACTATTATATGTCACAATTTCACACCCTAGAATAATCTTTAAGTATTTTGTTTCTTTTTTCCTATTTACACCACTTAAAAGTCATTTTCCTTAAAAGAACTTTCTAATTAGGCAAAATGACTAGATTTGGACTATTCCCTGACTTCTTCCACAGCTCCTGATAAGAATATCATATTTTTACAATCCAATCCAAATTAAAATAAGTAATCTTAGCTAGGCATTCATCATAAATTCAAGCTATTTAAATCACATAAATTTTATTTCTTAATGTGATCTTTCAAATTCCCTCATCATTCCATCTATAAATCCAAATCACATTTTAATGAAATAAAAAAGAAAATTTCATTTCATATAGTAGTCCCACCAAAAAAGGCTCCATGCCTCTATCATATTAAATATCATAGTAAATCGAAGAATGAACACATTTTGGTATCAACTTTCTCATTAAAAAGTGAAGCATATCCTATGGAAGAGTTATTTTTAAGTTTAAGAGTTACTCTAAAATTTATATGGTGATTTAATTACACATTCCTATATTTAAAATACATATTACTAGCTAGAAAGTTAGGTAAATTACTTACAAGTCCGTGATGATAACATAAAATTTCAATTTTTGAAATCTATCAATTGTGGCCTAGTCTTCATATGGGTCTCAAATCAGGATACAAGGTTTAGTTTGGGTAAGACTCAGAATTGACTCGATCCGAAACGGCTTGAGCAGGGCTTGGCATTAATAATAAATAGGTTAGAAGAGATAACCCGAACCCGACCCATATCTAACCCGTTGACCCAAATATGACCTGCATAGTCCATTTAACTTAACATATAACAACTATTTGGATTAATTTTGGGTAAATTTCAAATTGATTTTGGGTCAATATCATGTTGATTTCAAGTTGAGGGGTCAATTTGCGTCAATCCCGAGTTAATAGGCCAGTTATGAGTTTGAAGGATCAACCTGAACCCACCCCATAAAATAAACACATTAGGATAACTAACATGAAACTTAATTATTTAATTCACATTAGGTTGAGTTTGTGTGTCAGCCAAATTTTGACACCCTGCTCTCTTACCCCTTATATGAATCTAGCCAATTTTAATTTTTTGAGTAAACAAATTAGAGAGGGGGTGTTTGAGTCGACCTACAATTACGTAGATTTTTAAGCTCCGAAGAATGGCCAAAAACTTAACACAATTTATATTTAAGAGGCTAGTGTGCAAAATAATATTTAAAAAAAATATGATTTATGTTTCACACACTAGGGGTTCTACACAAGTATACATATCGTTTCAAGTAATATAGGGTTTTCTTTTAAGACCCTAGTATCAATCCAACAGAAAAGCGAGGTAAAAATCCCTTAGGCTAATTCTAGTCTACTAATATCAGGCCTTAATTTGAAAGGTCGATTAAGATGGTGTTTATCTAGCAACTACTTCCAAATGCATATATTAAATGTAATGATAAAAAATATTCCTAAATGCAAATATTAATTGTAAAGGTAACTTTTCTAGATATAAAGACAACTTTTTCGAATAAATTGGTTTGGAGAATTTTGAGATATTAAAGACCATCCTTTACGCGCAATGACCTAGATAATGTGATGGAATGAAATGCTGAAAATATAATGTTGTCGGTGATAAATAGAAATAGGAGCATACAGCATACATATTTTTTACCCCCTCCCGGTGCTAGCAAAGAACATTGGCTAACTTAAGGTCGATTCCTTAACATCTCGACTCCACATCAGTATTATCTTGCCTCTGACCTCTAGTTGCCCCTAGCCTAAGTCACCGTGATGACTGAATCTTAGCGTCCGGGTATTAAACCTTAAGCCAAATTGATAAGAATCTAGCCTATCACTTGATATACAAAAATAATATATTATTTTAAGCACATATTTTATACTTATTTTTTGTGATATTGCACTTTAAAAAAGGGTATTTTTATGTTTTTGTTCCAAGTATATTATTTTTAGGAATTTGGAGAAAAAATGACAAATAGGACAAAATTTAGAGCCAAATAACAAATTTTGGGATTCTGGCGCATGATGCACCAGAGACGACCTTTTACGGATTAAGACAGTTTGAGAAAAAATTTGTGTGAATTTTCAAAGGGACACTTGTTCTACACACCCCTTGGAGTGATTTAATGCATGTAGACACTTTAGAAGGTTCTTTTATAAAGAGATATCAAATGACACATCTTTTGAATTCAAAAGAGTTGACTTTTAGAGGAAATTTTAGAGCGGATTTTGAATTCCTTTTCAAAGGAGATAGCCCATAATAAAAGAGGAAGACTTCAAAGAGTTGGGAGAGAGTTGGAAGGGGGACAAAAAAAAAAGGAGGTGGTGGCGTGAAAGGCAAGGAGAGGAGATTTTCTTCAAGGGTTGTAAGAGGAGAGGGAAGGCGAGAGTTTTCTTCTTCATTAAACTTCAAGGGGAGAATTGAGTGTGTTTGTAAAGAGAGAAAGGCTTGGAGAAGCTTGGAGAGAACTTCTAGGAGTTTGCTTGAAGGATTTTGAGATAAGTTGTGTCTTTTATTTCTTCTGTTTTGTAAACTTGTTTCTATATATGAAATCTGTGTTTTGTCGTATCATTGTCACGAATTCTGAGTAGTCTTATTTATCCATCTTCTTACTTTGAGATATGGTTTTGTGAAGAATTGATTATGTCTTCTATGATTTTAAATGTTAATAATTTGTGATGATTTAAACTTCGATCTTCATTTACTTTTTGATCTGGCCAATTGAAATGTTAAAAAAAAGTTAAGAAACATATGTTTTAAAAAGGGCTATCATTTTTACAATAGGGGGAGAATCACATTTGATTTCATGGGAGAGTATTTCATCCATGAAATTGAGTGCAAATAAATATGAAAATATGCTTTGTTGGATGCAGAATTTGAGATTTTAAAGTGATAGATTAAAATCCCCAACTTGATCCAGTTGATTGGAAATTGATGCAAGACTGTTAGCCCTCAAGGAAGAGATAGTGAGAGCTCTAGAGTGGCAGTTGATATCCTCCCAACCTAACCACAGAATTAAGGACCAAACTCTGGATTACTCAATGTTTTTTATAGCACTGGAAAGAGGGTAAATAATATAATTGCTCCTATCTGGCAGAAAACAGTTTATATATATATTTTTAATTGATTTTAATTTCTTCACAATTCATATACTCATTGTGAAGAAGAATGATGTTTTCTTAAATTTAAATCTTCCATAAAAAAATTTTGTTTAGTTTTCATAATTTTACTTTTGAAAATTTTGTTTTAAGTTAGTTAACTTTATTCTTTCAACATCATTTTATATAGCATTCACTTTAGTAGTTAATATTCAAACTTTACACTTTACTTTTATTTTTGAATTTTTGAGTTGTAAAATAATTTTAAGAATTTACTTATAGGTTTTTTCATCTTCCCCGTGGAATCGATATCTAGGACTTATCTAGGACTCTTGGAATCGATATCTAGGACTCTATTAGAGTCATTTATTACTTGAACGATACGTATACTTGCATTGATTTTAAAGAGGATTTGGCAGTTTAGAAAGAGTTTCAAAAATAAATTATTTTCACAAAAGATATTTTTGATGGGATTATATTTCATATTTATTGTTATATCAGCCGTGTATTTTGTAAGATTGAAAAATATTTACAAAATTTACACACTAAATCTGACCGCATCAAGTTTTTGGCGTTGTTGCCAGAGATGTTTCGGAAATTAGTATTAGTAATTTATTTTATTTTATTTAAAAAAATATAAAAATATAAAATAAATAAATAAAGAGTGTTTATAGTTCATTTTTAACATTTTCTTATTTATGTGTGATTGCTTATTTTTAATTACTTGCTT